GGGTTTGATCTAACACTATTTCTCCTGAAATCTACAAACATCTCCTTTGTTTTGTTCACATTCAAGATGAGATGATTGTTCCCACACCATGTCACAAAGCGGTCCACCAGCTCTCTGTACTCAGCTTCCTGTCCGTCTCTGATACACCCAACAACTGCAGAGTCATCTGAGTATTTCTGTAGATGACAGCAGTCTGACTTGTGCTGGAAGTCTGAAGTGTACAGTGTGAACAGGAATGGTGAGAGTACAGTTCCCTGTAGAATGCTTTGTGTGTAAATAAAATGGCCCCGTCCGTGTAATATGCTTTTAAACTTTCAGTTTAAAAATGATAAAAACTGAACATCCTACAGTATTTTTACAGTTTTATTTTACAGTTAAAATATATGTTTATTAAATGAAGTCTAATGTTACAACTAATCAGGAATCCCTTTAAATACTTGCTGTTTATTTTTAGGTGTATTCGCTACTTTACATTTTACACATAACATAAACATTAACAGATGTTTATTTAAATAATTTCTCGCCTTCAGACTTAAAGATGTTATAAGCTACAGTGATGAACGAAGAGTCACTTTTTTTTTTCTACTGTTGGATTTTTGGGTTTGAGAAACTTGCCAAATACAGATTTGTAAAACCAAAACTCTTTGCACTAAAATGCATTGATCCTTTAAATGTGCTCACATTTCTCCTTACATTTAGGTCTGATCATGTCAGTTTTGCTTCAATTCTTTAATTAAATAAATACAAACAAAATTAGCTACATATCCATAATTATAACTCTGTCCAGACATTTAAATGACATCATTTAACAAAGCTAAGATATATTGTTCCAATATAAAAAACAGAACTGATCAGAAGTAAGCTCTTTAGTTTCTGTATTTTGTGACAGAAAGTTGAATTTTTATGCAGCATGTTAATGTCCAAAAAGCTGCTGTTCCAAAGAGTTACCAGCAGATGTCCCTGCAGGCTGCAGAGGCTTCCTTTCTCAGCAGCTCATTCAACATTTCTATTATCCGCACTGTGATCCACTTGTCCTCAGAGGACCTACTTAGGCTGGATGAGCTGAGGGGCTAAAAGCTGCACTGCATATTGTGTTCGACTGCAGCAGAGGAACCAGGCTTTTCTTTAGACCTGGTCTGCTTTCTTTGCAGATCGCTGCCTTTAACATACAGTGGGTAAAATAAGTATTGAACACGTCAACATTTTTCTCAGTATATATGTTACTAGAGGTGCTAATGACATGAAATTTTCACCAGATATCGGTAACAAACCAAGTGATCCATACATACAAAGATATCAAACCATAAATGTCCAGAAATGAAGTTATTTGTAATAATGTGGAATGGCACAGGGGAAAAAAATATTGAAAACATGAAGAAAGGGAGGTGTAAAAAGGCATGGAAAGCCAAGACACCAGCTGAACTCTCTCAGTAATTAGAAAGCAAGCCTGCCCCTTGTCAGTGCAAGTTAATATCAGCTGGTTCAGTCCCAAATGATGGCCAGGTATCACACAAGAACCATCTGATGATGGGTAAAAGTAAAGAGCTCTCTCAAGACCTTCACAACCTTATTGTTGCAAAGCATAATGATGGCATCGGTTACAGAAGAATGTCTAAACTTCTGAAGGTTCCAGTGAGCACTGTTGGGGCCATAATTCAGAAGTGGAAAGAACATTATTTCACCATAAACCGACCACGACCAGGTGCTCCTCACAAGATTTCTGACAGAGGAGTGAAAAGAATTATCAGAAGAGTTGTCCAAGAGCCAAGGACCACTTGTGGAGAGCTTCAGAAAGACCTGGAATTAGCAGGTACGATTGCTTCAAAGAAAACAATAAGTAATGCACTGAACCACCATGGCCTGTATGCACGCTCACCACGCAAGACTCCACTGCTGAAGAAACAGCATGTTGAAGCTCCTTTAAAGTTTGCTGCACAACATTTAGACAAGCCTGTGTAATACTGGGAGAATATAGTCTGGTCAGATGAGACCAACATTGAACTGTTTGGATGCCAGAATACACATCATGTTTGGAGGTCAAATGGCACTGCACATCAGCCCAAAAACACCATACCAACAGTGAAGTTTGGAGGTGGGAACATCATGGTGTGGGGCTGTTTTTCAGCATATGGTACTGGCAAACTTCAAATAAYTGAAGGAAGGATGAGTGGAAAAATGTACAGAGACATTCTTGATAAAAATCTGCTTCCATCTACCAGGATGATGAAGATGAAACGTGGCTGGACATTTCAGCAAGACAATGAGCCCAAACACAAAGCCAAGGAAACTCTCAGTTGGTTTCAGAGAAAGAAACTAAAGCTGCTGGAATGGCCCAGCCAATCACCTGACCTGAATCCAACAGAAAATCTATGGAAAGAACTAAAGATCAGAGTTCATAGAAGAGGTCCACGAAACCTTCAAGATTTGAAGACTGTTTGTGTGGAAGAATGGGCCAAAATCACACCTGAGCAATGCATGCCACTAGTTTCTCCATACAGGAGGCATCTTGAAGCTGTCATTGACAACAAAGGCTTTTGTACAAAGTATTAGATAAATTTCAGTAAGTGTGTTCAATACTTTTTCCCTGTGCCATTCCACATTATTACAAATAACTTCATTTCTGGACATTTATGGTTTGATTTCTTTGTATGTATGGATCACTTGGGTTGTTACCAACATCTGGTGAAAATTTCATGTCATTAGCACCTCTAGTAATATATTTACTGAGAAAAATGGTGACGTGTTCAATACTTATTTTACCCGCTGTAACTGTAAGTGAGGAGCGCAGTGCAGCGCGACACCCTGGGGTGTTCTACACAAATAAGCCCAGGACAAAGGRACTATTTATTTCTACACGACATACATCTGTGCTTGTACTCCTGTCACAGCCACTACTATTTATAACTACACTCAGTGTGCWTTGTTTACCAAATGATCTTTCTGCCACCTTCTTTATGAACACTCATTTCAGTGCCAGTATTTCACCTACATCTGATCAGATTGTATTGGTAATAATTCTAATTTCATAGTATTTTGAGTACTTATTGGTCCTCTGCTGTATGAAGTCCAGTTCCAAGCAGATTCAGTATTTTAAACTGTGGACTTGGACACAGTGAAACTGATTAGAAGGCAGACTAAATGACGAGGACGCACTCACCTGTGGCGTAGGACATGTCATATTGCGCTGAGAGCAGAGGGTATGCCATGTGGTGGTGAGAGGGCACGATGCGCTGGGAGGGCGAGGAGCGTGGCCGGTCCACGTCTCGTTCTCTGTCCCGTTCCCGGTCCCGTTCCCTGTCTGCGACAGCTCCTCGGTCCTGCTCCCGGTCCCTGTCGTGGGACGATTTGTCGACCACGGTGGGGGATTTGCTCTTGTATTGGCTGGCGTGTTGATGCAGGATATCCAGAGCTTTGGGGTCTGCTGCCGTTTTAGTGACAGTTGGACTTGCGCGAGATTTCTCGCTGCCTTCCTCACCAGCTATTTTACTACCGTAAGGGGAAAATGGATAACCTCCAGGTAGATAAGAACCTACGAGTAAGAGAGAAATTTTTAAGTTGACATGATGGTTTGAGACGATTTATACACTTTTAATGCACTACACATGTAAACAATGTTCACTGGTTTAAATATTTAACACCTTCCAGAAAACTGACCTAAATTGATGTCTATGAATATTACTGTCATGGTGTTACACCTCATCAAGTTCCAACAACGGACTGAAATTACTATATTTTTTGTGGATAATTCGAAAAGTTTAATCACAAAAATCATCCATAAAGTCGTCAGATTTTTTGCTAAATTACTACTACAATAAATTTCTATATTTTCTTGTAAATAACTGAACTATAGTGTCACTCTGCCCTCCCACTGTAGAACACACAGCTACTATAAGCAGCAACAGAAGATATTTTTTCAATCTACATTTGAAGAGAATCGTGCTGTTGGATGAGTCGTCGGAGCAAAAACTTATTTTCTCGTTAACCAGAAAGAAAGCAGACAGAAAGAAGATGTGGAAGTCAGCTGTATCAACAGAATTTAACAACTGGATTCTGCTGTGGGAGCCAATCATTTTCAGCAACATRCAGAAGCTCACGCATTCTGCATCGCAGCCACAAACTCGCCCACAAGTGTGTGCCTCCAAATAATTTGTYTCCCCACCAGAGGGAGCACCATAAATGTTGAAAATCCCTGAAGTTTSTATGAAATACGGGTTAGCATTATACACGAGGATTAGACTGTTTATGCTTTATGCTTGGAGGATCGCATTATACTCACATAAAGTAGTTGCTTTTAAAAAATACAAATGATACAAAGTTTATTTTTAACACTATTAGAATTAAAATCATTGCCAAATTTAATAATTCTTTATACGAAGGTACACTAATAAATGTTTAGAGGTATTATGTTTTAAAACAAGTTACATGAGGCTCTTTAAGTCATATTGACCAATGAATGTWGTATAAATCAGTGGTTCCCAACCTTTTTAGACTTGTGTRCCCCCTGAACCATTTTGTCATACCCTTAGTACCCCTTCTGTCAAATGTAATAATGATTCTCCAAAACTATAATATAAAACTGATTAAATGATTGTTTTTCTTTGATCCCATTAACTTGAACATTTAATTCTCAGACATTTTATTCTTTTAAACTCAAATTAAACATTAAGATAAACATGTTGCCTTGAAAACAAATAAGTAAATAAATAAACCAGAAGCAGCAGCATCCAAAATACATCAGAAACTCACCCAAATTAGCCATTCCTGTGAGATTCTGCATTTTTTAGAGGATTATATTTTGTTTAGTTAATTTCACGATTCCGCATTTTCCGCATTGCGAAAATTATAAGGCCATACATATCTCAGTCCTATTTTTATATATATTTTTACACACCTGGGAAATTTTTCCATGTACCCCCTTTAATATACTCGTGTACCACTAGGGGTACACGTACCCCTGTTTGGGAATCACTGGTACTGTTTAAATTACTGTAAAGTAATTTACACAACTTATAGTTGTAGTAAATTTCACGTCATACCTGGGTAGTTCTGCATCATGACTGAGGGTACRCCCCTGTATCCAGGGTGGTTGGGGTCATAGCTCTGTCCATACGGGTAACCATGCATGTAGGGCAGGTAGCTTTGGTGCTGTGCTAGTGGTGACGTGAACTGCATGTGGGGGTTGGAACGAGAGTCTTTGCTCATGGCTCGATGGTCTTCCAAAGTGATTCTGGGATCACTAATGTCTTTTCCATCTTCCTTGGGTCCACTTTGACTGTCCTTTGGCCTGGACCTTTCTTCCTTTATTTTCCGATCTCGTTCCCGTTCATCTTTTCTTCGATGTGGTTGTTGCTGGTGTTCTTCCTCTGCTTGGAGCTTCTGGCTCTCAGGGTACTGAAGAGGACAAGAAAGTAAGTCAGGAGTCCACAAAGTTTCACCACATAAATGAGTTACAGGAGACATATCAAGTAAGGTTGGGCATAATCGTATCATGTGCAATTAATCGTCAGAAAAACAATCAATTATTTTTTGCACTTGACGATTAATACAATTATTGCCACCAGGTCAGTCTGCTTGGTGCTCCTCTCCGCTTCAAATATGATAAACATAAAAAAAGTTCTGTAATTTATTTATTTATCAACACAACTTTGAATTTGATGTATAGCCTGAAGTCTGTAATTTTGACACAATTTGGGCCAGATTTTTATGATGAGCACATCTAACTACTAAATTGGTCACGTGACCGGGACATAATGGTGTCCAGAGACTCCAAGGGATTAATCATCAAATTAATTGTTATTGGCTAAATACCACGATTAATCGTGATTAATTTTTTTGCCAATATTGCCCAGCCATAATATCAAGCTTTTAAATACTTCTTTTTCACATTTAAATCATTCAGTCAGGGTCTATATAAGTGGAACTGCAATGCTTTAGAGTCTGAATTCCTCGTTACTGTAACTCCACAAGCCCCTCTTTCAMCCCTATTCTGAGGTGTGTCKCAGTCAGAACAACTCGTTTTGAGACTGTCTCTTTAAATCCTAACAAGGTGCTTCACACCCTGCCCCACCTCCAGCTTAAAAGATGTCAACAACAGAAGACTTGTCCATCCAGCCTCACATGTTGGAGCCAGAGTCTGACCCAGAGAGGGGGGCAGGATTGAAGACCACCAAACTGTAGCTGGTAAGTCCAGACTTTATGCCAGTTCCGTGACAAATAATTTGACATAATAGCTCAGAAAACATCATAGAAAATAGAGAAAACTGACTGGGTTGAAAAATATAACCCTAACAGAATAAAGATATCTTTGCAGCATCAGGAGAGACTAAATTAAAATTTTCTACACTAATAGTGACTCAAAATACATAACAAATGCATTTCATGGCAAAAAAAGTGGATTTTGCAGGGTATGTTCTAATTAAACATTTGAGCAAAATTATTCTCTATAGACATTTACCTGTCTGTACCACATGGCCTGCTCCATGCCTGCCTGGCCTCTGGACTCCAGAACTTGCAAGGTGTCATCCTTTCCATGATGACTTCCTTCAGTCAGTTTCATCTTAAGCCCCTCAGCTTGCTGGGATTTTGGGTCCTCCCCCTTTATGCTTCCAATGGACTTGGAGGACAGTTCAGAGGGGGAGTCTCTTGATTTGCTTGCAGGTTGCTGTACCTTTCCCAGGTCTGACTGACTCGGGGCTTTGGAGAGGCTTGGCGGCATTGGGCTCTTTTGTTTCCACTCCTCTTTCGTGGAGGCTTCTCGCTCTTTCATGACCATATCTGACTTCTTTTCAGCAGCACGATGCCGCTCAGCTATCTGTTGCTGTCGCTCCTCGTATTGTTGCCGGTAGACTGGGTTGGTGTTCATCAAGTGGTTATGGTAAGCTTGATCGGGATTGTAGGCATAAGGAGGGACATATGCATACTGGTTGTAGTAAAGAGGCTGCATGTACATGTTGGATCGTTGTTGGATGACTGAGGGCTGCTGTTGCTGCTGCTGGCCAGTAGCACTGCTATCAGGTTTACGATCTTCATGAACTTCAACCTTCACTTTTTCTTCACCTTGTTCATGTTCATCATCTCTTTTGATCTTAGCCTGACCTTCAGCCACTGGTGCACCTGGATTTGGCCCGCTGGGACTGGGGTTGACATAATTAGGTGAGTAGTATGTCTCATAACTGGTGTAATATGGCGAATCTTTGTTGGGTGTCTGGTTTGGAAAAAGCGCTTTCTTGACGCTTTCCCTAATACCCTGGTCCTCTGTTCTGACTTTGACACCTTCTAGTTTCCCTTCACCATCCTCCCCAGCATCTGAAATGTCTGAGTAAGCTGGGCTATTGGTTTTGACTGAAGAGTTGTCAGCACCATTCTGGTTCACCGCATGGAGTGGTGTGAGAGGCTGTGGCATACCGCTGCCATCTATTCGACTGGCGACACCAATAGACGGACTTGGAGCATTATCAGAAAAGCTGTAAATCTTATCAGCCTCAGCCTTGATACTGGCTAAGCGACTCTGAGTATCCGAGGAACCATTGAGGAGGCCATCTCCCTTGTTTCCTTGATCACAAGGTTCAGAGTATGGAATCTTTCCTTCTTCTAGTTTCCCTACCTTTCCCGAAGGTTTGGGACTATCAGCATCCTTCCCACCATCTTTTTTCTTTTTATCTTTCTTCTTCTTGTCTTTAGCGCTACCTGAAGTAGGATCTCCAATAGTGGGCGGTTTGGCTTGTGTGCCTTTCATTTGGGGACTTTTTGGGATTCCTTGGATTATTGGAGAGGAATTGGGGTTCCCAGCAGGAAAAGAATACATCTGTTGTGATGCTGTAGGACCAGGGCCAATCGGACGTGGTGACTTCAAGTTTTTCTGGGAAATTTTATCATTTTTTGTACCAGTGCTCGTCTTTTTAGACTTATCTGATCCTCTCTTATCGTCTATTCCATCATTACTGGCCTCATCAGTAAGGCATGGCCCTTCCTCGCAGCCATCCATCGGTGTACCTCCCATTTCTGGATCTGTTTCAGGAATTTTCTTTTTACTCTGCTTTGAACCAAACTTGCCAGGAGATGGAGAGGGACTCTGAGCATCAAAGTTCCTGCCTTTTGGGGTAATTGAACGCGCTGGAGATAAGCATCCTTTCTGGGAGATGGATGCTCCATTACAGTTTCCAGGTTCAGGATGCAGAGTTGAGTCCTCTCCATATTCACTGTCTCCGTCTAACTCYAACTTTATGTCATCATCATTGTGGGCGCGAGCTTGGTGGTACTTGAGGCCATTGATGTGCTTGTATTTTTTGTTGCAGTTAGGGTGTGGACAGTCAATAAGAACTGGAGATGGACAGCTACGATCAAGGGGAGGGGGAAGTGGCTCAGTCTTAACAGAAGGAATAGGCAGGCCTGTGGGTCCCACGCCTCCACTGTTGGAGTTTGTCCGCATCCGTTTGTTGCCTTTGGTGTCCTCCGAACTGGAGTTGAGGTCCATGTCTGAGGCTGGTTTGGTCTTGCGTTTTCCAGCTGATGACGGACTGGTTTTGATGTCCTCGGTGTTGCTGTTTGGTGGGGTGCGGCGCTCCGATGGCGTCTGGCTGCCTCGCCGGCCCTTGCTGTTAGATGCGGCGCGTGTCTTGTTGTTGGTGGTGCCCTTGTTGTCTGAGGAGTTGCTGTTCTCGTTGATTGGGGTGTTGCTGTTCGGTCTCATCCGCTTACCCCGACCACGACCATTTCTCATTTCCAGATCACTTGTCGGTGATTCACAAAACCTGCAGTTATKTTAAAAATATTTAAGAATTAGTCATACAACTGTAGCATTGCTTCATCTTAGTATACCAGGTGATTTTAATCTCTACAGTACAGTAATGAAAATTTAGATTGGTTGATTAAATTAAAATACTGTTAGGGGATCTGTAAACAATTTTTTTTTTTACATTTGGCAGCCATTTATATCTTATGTAGAAAAAATTTCAGCAGATAATTTTGTGTAAAGGTTAAACATTGTTTCATTATACACAAACCTGTTCACTGTATCACTTGTATGAATACAAGATCGATTTTGGTTGTTTCAATGGATCCAGTATAGGAGGGGAGGGATGGGAGGGATTTTGGGTGTGTGTGTTTTGTTTTGTGTTTTGTTTTTGTAAGTCTGTTCTTTTTTGTGGTTTGTTAAAAAAATTTAATAAAAAGACCTTGATCAAAAAAAATACATATTGTGAAAATGAATAGAGCTATTTCGGTAAGACCTCATTAGATACTCCCATATTTAATTTTAAAGCATTCAATGGCTGTAAACACATTACTATCTTTTATGATAAACAGTTTGGAAATAAACTTGATCAATAAATCTATTTAGTGGTGTGTCTTCCGTGTGTAATCTAAATGTGACAATAGTGTTTCTGTCTTGGGAAACCATGGTACTTTCATCTTCATTACTAGCTACAAACAGAGACCCATCTGTACTATTCTCTGAAAGCCTTCTAGCTAATTTTGTGACTCAACCAAAACCACATCCGAGATTATGGGCTAWTGCTGGCGCCAACATATCCACTACTGAAAAAAAAGGTTAAGTAATCGCCAGTGGTTATTTTTCAAATAATAATTTGCATGAAATGCAAACATCAATTGTAAAGTCGACAGGTTAATATTTTCTCAAAGGGGAAATAAAATAATAAGATTATTTGTTATTACATCAAAAATTTGTCACATGTTCATCCTGATTCAAACCAGCATCAATGACTTTCCAGTTCTTTAGCAACATCTTATATTTTATATAAATATGAAAGACAAAAAAARGACAAACAAGAAAAAAAAGAAAGACAATAAAATACAATTTAAACAAATAGCCATGAAACTTTTTACCCCTTTCTAATCAAAACACGCTGTCATTTAAACACGGAAAATAGTGGTTAGGCTTTATCTCTCCATAAYGGTAATGTAATTATCTATGTGCACAGCAGTGAAGGTTAGCAGTCTGTGACAAAGTCAAAGCCAGGGCTGGTATGACTCACAGCTTCCTCTACAAGTTTCTCCAAACAATTTCAGACCCAGCAGGGGTAATGTGAACACATCCTTAGTCTGACAGTGGTACAGGGTTTTAGACTCATTACAAGCATGATTTTATATTCAGTTTGTTGAAGGATTTCTGAATAATTTATAGTGTGTTTCTAATGTGGTCATGCTGCAAACTGTAAGACAATTGTAGTGCAAATGCAGCCTAACAAACCTTACAAACTGGGTATGGCGGTGCATTAGTGGGATATAGCATTTACTTGTTTTCCATTAGCACTGATTTAATCTTTTTTTTCTAGTGCACTTAAACATCCATTTGAAACGCAGACTTGTATTTACATTTAAACTGCATCTCTCCCTGCATTTTTAAAATAAAAGCAGGGCTTGAAAATGTGCGTTTTACACATCCTGTCTATTTATGACACAATTTCTGTGTATTGAGAAACACCACCAAACAAACACCTCATGCTATTGCCATGAGACTGAGCTTAGAAACTGCAGTCTTTGTGATGGAAAATGTTATCCAGTGTTGAGGAAAAAAAGCTCTTAGTCCAATAATTGGATTCTGCAATCTGGCTTGTTAGAGTAGCTTTCTATTTCCACTGCTGCCTCCTGAGACATCAGCTGCTTGCCAATGAATCCTGTTTCTCCAGGCTCAACATAAAGACTAACATGCACTCGGTGGTCCAGTGGCACACTGGAAAGTCGGTGCATTAAGCTGTGTATGCCTGCTGCTACAGCAGATTTGTATCACGTGGAATATAAAAAGGTTAAGAGACTTAGCACCAACAGTTTGGATCGAGTATGCATCGGTGATTTGTAGCAATTTTGAACCCTTTTTTTTTCTTTCTTGACATTTACAACTTCCATGTGTGACAGTAAATTAAATTTTATGCTGAACCAGGGGATGAAATGTACTAAGCAGGGTGTGCCTCTTACCTGGGGGGAGCCCAGTCATGTCGCGTACAGTCTAACAGGGTGCCRACGTACGTCTTGTTTCTCCAAGTCACGTTGACCACAAGCATGCCTGGAAGACAAGATCACAGTTATATTTATATTTTTATATTTACTTTGCAACTACTGTGAATATGTAACTACAGAAATGATTTACAACTTAAATATTAAGCTATATCACAAATATTATTTTACTTKCTTCACGTTGCAAACAAACTGAACTGAGCAAGTGAAGAAATCTTTGCTGAAGGCTGTCATATGGAGGACAGTTATACGAGACAAAGATGCTTTTTTAATCTCCTTCACACAGTAAAGCCGTAGGGGCCAGACTGACTGATACCTCCTAAATGACTTGGAACAGACCCAGCTGCACTCAGTATTGCAAAACCTGCATACAATATTGGCAGAGGGTCTCCCTGAGAGTGAAAACACAGAGGCTATCAAGAGAGACTGAACACCCTTCCATTTGAAATAAGTCATCTCGCAGCAGAAGAGATTTTCYTGAAGGAGAATCACTTGGAGGCAAATATTTCCTTGAAACCCTGACTCTCACTCTGCAGCTTAGAAATTCACCACCTTAGGGAAGATTATGACAACTGTGGCTCCTTTAAAATGAGCAACAAGCTCCTGGGTTTGGCTAATTCAACTGAATGGTTCTGTTTGACAGACTGTAAATGAGTGTGCAAGAAAAGCCTCTCGACTTCACTGCTATTGCTGCAATCTGTCACATTTTGAAKCTTCTGTGTCACCATTTGGCCACTGTCAATTATATCTCACTTGTGACCTACTGACAGTGTGATACCTGATCTGACGTTTAAGATCCTGATCTGATGTTTAAGATCCAAAACTACTTACTCACTTATTCACTTTAGTTTCTGTTTAGATTTACATAAGTGCTAAAAAATATTCTTAAATCGGTAATAGCTTGAAGATTTAGCTAATTTATTTTACAAATATTGTGCACTGTAGATATTTCAACAGAAAAAATAAATATACATAAAACGTAAACAGATGTATTGGCTGTTTTCAATAAAGCATCTTTAAAGGTTGTGAATATCTTTGAGATTTTTAACCAAGCAGCCGTAGAGGATTAAGAGCAACGACTGTGTGCAAAAACATTGTGAATTTATTGCCCACACCATCCCTCTTACACCCCGGTGATGACCTCAGCTTGCCACTTCAGCACTGCAGAGAAACTGGAGGATGCAGTGAGCTAACTTATCTAATGACACAGGAATGCTGGTTGGCAGCTTCTATCCTCCCGAGCATTTTATTAGCTTAGGAAACCTCTTTTGCTCAACACCCACCCCACCCCCATCCCCTCTCTCCTTCACCCTCGCCGTCATTTCCTCTTTTCAATGGTATAACCATCCTTGGCTTACAATCTTTTTCCCTCCCACACACACATACAAGTCACAGTTCAGACCTCATTTTTCTCCTGCTGCCTCTGGCATAAAGCAGGGGGAGCATAAGGGATTTATATATGTTTACAGGAACCTGCTGACACTTGGCTGCATGCCTCTTCCTTCAATCTATGGCTGCAAAACATGAGCACTTGGTCAAGGCTGGTTCCAACGGCAAAGGCCATTTTGAGTGTGTGTGTGTGTAGGGCACTGGAGAGGTCCTCGAGTTCGGATTTCTGTCACATTAAAAGAACCCAGACCTTTTCTAAAAACGCCTTGAAGAGCCCGCCCCCTGAGCTCTTGAAACACTCAAACACAAAATGGCTCTGGCAGCTGGACGAGGCAGGGATGTAAATCAAGGCAGAGCAGATGAATGACTAGCCTTTCATGATGTGCAGGATATAGCCTTCACTCCGCTCTCGAGAAAGCGGGACTGAAATGATACCATGAATTGTTGGGTCAGAGTGATTTTTAACTGCCTTTAATGTTATAAATGCTGTCATTTGCRCAGCTGAGACAGTGGTAAAGTTTAAGTAGAATTGAAACCATTTATTTGATTGTATTTTTTTTAAAACCAAAATTAGCCAAGATTTTGTTTAAGAATCCTAAGTAAGTTTATGTATTTTGTACTATATAATACTGAATACAATATTTTATTGTAATAGTTTGTGATAATGATATATTTTTGGCCCAAATGAGGACAATCTCCTAAATCAGCTTCAAGTTACTACAAAGACTTTCCTTCATGACACAGCTCAGAGCTGCTCCTTGGTTATCAACGACTTCCACCGTGTTTTACTGAGATCTTCAGTGTTGTGTTTGGCTGCGTGTTGAGGATCACTACCCTGCCTGGAGATAAATCTTCTCCCCGATCCGACAACTCATGTGCTTGGCRTTGGGTTTTCCAGAGGAATTTCCCTGTATTCCCCTCAGCTATAACTCACTGTCTACACGTGAAAAGCAGCCCACAGGGTTGGGTTACATTTAATTCATGAAAACAAAGAGGATGACAGCTGATGAGAAGAGGTGTGGTGATCAATCTTATTGAGCATTTCCACTCTAAATGGGTGGCCAATTGATTRACCAGGAAATGTTTCTCCTATTAGGAACTAAATGGGCATAAACACTTAAACTATTAAACATTTTTAAAGAGGACAATAATGTATGTATAAATGTATAATCACTAGAGTTTCACTAGCAGAGGCATCTTACTGAGCTGCTACACCGTCACTGGCAAATATGCTACAGATTCTGCGCTTGCCATTGTATTTCTGCTCTCCGGAGCAGCTCCCATCTGGCCGCCATCCCACATTGAAGCCAAAGAACTCTGTAATCCCTGGCTTCTGAGTCACCTCAAATCTCAGCCTCCGGCTTTCTCTGATTCATTATAATATAGTTCCTTTAACATGATGTGGGACACCTCAATGGAATATTAAATGTGTACCGATTCACATGACTTCATTTTCAATTAAGTTGATTTGAAAAAGAGCAGAAATGATGCTTTTATGAGTTTGTGCCTGCAGTTTACAAAGTAAATACGACAGGTCGGGTCAGTGTACTTCAGCTTTTGTTTCATGTTTTAGCTCTCGTAACCAAAAGGAGTTTTAGTTAAGGGGCTCTAAGTTACTCTGCAGTAAAGCATGGAAATTATATTGAAAACTTCTTTTATACCATCGCTTCTGCAAAACATTTCATTTAAATCACAGTGATTATTGTCTGTAGATGTTCTGTGGGCACAGCTGAGCACATCTTTTCTACTTTACTGCGCACATAAGTAGAAACTTTCTTCTTGAAATTATACGCTTTGGATGGATGACATTTTACTACTTCATTAAGCAGACGTTACTGTATTCATGACTGATTAAAAAAAATCAACCAGGTTCTGTTTGAATAAGAAAAAATAAGACTTAGAGTAAAAAATTATATCAGTGTTTCCCCTACCATTATACAGCCCCCCCCCCCCCCCAACGAGACGGCCCGCCCCTCTAAGAATTTCACGGCACGTAGTCTTTTTTATTTAAATAAGTCCAGATCAAGTCGAAAGCTATTTTTTTACACCCCTCCACATTCATCTCTCGCCAAACTTGGGGAAAAAAAGACGGTGCAGAGCGAGGCTGAGCGCTGTGTGGTCCTCACAAAGATAGGAAGACGTGTGTGTGTGCGCACGCGATGAAAACTCTGCTTTTAATCACGTAGCACCGACGCGACAGCTTTACAAGCTACTTTTTCTTCAAATTATTTTTATAAATTATAATTATACGGATTTATTAAAGGTAGGGAAATATTGTGACAAGACAATTTTGCATTTATGCGTTAAACTTTTTTAACCAATAAAAATCTTATGAAAGAATGTTAAAGGGACTACTTTTTGATCTTTTACTTAACCCAATACATTTTTCATCCACTAAATCATATTTAAGAGAGAGAAAAGAAAAAGTAACATGCTAGGAAAATAAATTACCATCATAAGTAGTGGAGAAAAATGTAAAAAAACAATTGTATCCCTTCCCAATGAGGAAAAAAAGGAGATTTTTGTCCAGTGCAATAGGCTTAAGACGACTCTCGGTGCATAATAGTTTGTAAAGTCTGTGTTACACATGAGTATTTGTGTGGGCCAGGGCTCTTGACTCACTGGATTTGTTTCACAAGGAAGAAACCAAGCGGAGTTCAAAGATCAAAAAATATAACTTGTTCCTTGGAGCTGCAGCTCACTTGGGATTTGTTTGCTAGGGGAGGGTTGCAGTAGGGTGAGAGAAAAGGGTCAGGACGGTATAAAGCAAACCCAGTCCCCTGCACTCTGCCCCCTGCTTTATGTCAGCCATAATAGGGTCACACAGGACAGCTGAGTGAAGCCTGCATTAATGAGAGGAATTGGCCTGTAATTTTAACACTCATTTCCTTTCAGTGCCGTTGAACAACAAACGGCAGGCTCTGAACACCAACGCATACTTGTATRAGATTACTTGAACAAGAGGATAATGAAAGGGAAAAAATTAAGTCAGGAGTAGCACGCCTGACTCATGGGTGACTGCCATGTCCTGTCTTAAAACTCCCCCTCCTCCCAACTTGACACGTTTCATTAGGTTGCAGAGGGACTAAAATATCAGGTCCTCTGCTGYTGGTGAAATCTGTGAGGGCCACGGGTTCACTGGCTGACCTCTGCTCTGCTCCAACTCAACAGGAATCCAGAGGGGTTAATGGCATTTTCACTGACTGACCTCGTCAAAATGCTTTAGTTATCTTTGAAAAYGGGAGATCGTTTCTTGGAAATAATTGGGTGTGACACTGTGTGACTTASAAAATATCAAATTAAGGGTTTCTATTTGTCTTTGAACGTGTGAAAGATTTCAGACTTAGACAAGGCGAGTCTTAAAGCGAGAGAGAGAGAGAGAAAGGGGGGTGAAAAAGAAGAGTTCAGTTGTGTGAACAATTACCAGCACTGACAATTATCACTTTTCATACACAGATACTGATGTAATTATTGACAAACCCACTATGTATTCTGCCAAACAGCGTTTTCCCCCCTCATCTCTTGACAGTTTTCTGTACTATAAAGAGCCACACTCATCAAGGCTGCATGTAGATAAAAAAAGAGAACAATGAGGAAAAATAGTGTCAGTATTCATCACAAAAGATAAAAGATAGCCGGGTGCTGCCAAGAGCGATAACC